CAGAACAAATACAAGAATACAAAATACTTACTAATACAATCTAAAACACAGTGCACCCCATACCCATGGGACCTTTTGGAACAAAACTTTTATTACAAACCTCCTTTCCAAAAATTGTATTGATTGTTGATTAGAAGCTTTCCTCTTTCCTTTCACTAATACAACTTCAATAAATCTACCCCAAATAGCATAAAAATATTTAAACTTATTTCCCCTCTTTTCATCTTAAGTTCAGCAGTCAATTTATCATTTAATGCAATGTCCCGTACTTCATTAGACTGATCTTCTAATTTAATATCGTTTTTATCATTCCAGAATCTAGCTATTAATCTTCTAGCAGACTTGATTCATTTTTGTTTTGTTTTTTGAATGACTCAGACCTGGCTCACAACTGGGAACCCACCCATCTCCCCATATCCCCCCCCCCAGGGAGAAAAACTTGTTTTTAACAAGGGCACAGATTTTGTACACAGTACCAAAGACTTGCCAATATTTCGCCCATTTGGTTCACTCCCCGTTCCTCCGGTCAACCGGGAGAACAGCATCCTGCGAATGTAGGAATTGTGAGACTGTCAGGTCTGTCAAGCCTCATGGGAGAGAGAGTTCTGACGGACACACTCTTCCCTAGGACAGGCGGGGGGGAGGAGGGTAAACCCGCTGAATGATGAGGGTGGAAGTCCATTAAACACGAAAGCCCCATCTCGACACAGGACTTCACGAGGAGGTTCATGAACGCTCTGGGATTTTCTCCTCTCTAACACAAAATGTTTTTCTCGACCCATTGAGACACCCCCACCGAAAAGAGTCGTAGCCATGGCAAGGTTTTTCACCCGAGAAGAGTAGAAAGACAAACACTTAAAACAAAATTAATCAGCAATGGGATTTGCCAAAAAAAAAAAAAAAAATGCAACACAAAATGTGCATTTGGTGTTAAAAACCTGTTTTACTTGTATTTTAATATTGCTCTTATTCATGAGTTTTAATATAATGGCTGTTTAATGCTTTTTAAAATATTGTAATAATTTGTTATTTAGCTTTTTACTTAATTTCTTTTAATACTGTAAACCACCTCGGCTCTTTTAGGAGACAGGCAGCATATCAATATTTGAAATAAATAAATAACATTTCCATACCCATGTTTCTGCACAAAATGCAAGTTTATCATGCAGAGTACACCTGTGTTTTCCTCCAGAGGTAAGACATGGGCTATGTCAAGTGTTGCATTACAAAGAGTTTACACCCTCTGTTCCTGGCGGAATAACTTCTACATTTTATTGTAATTTTGCTAGAAAGCGTTGAAGTGCCAACATGCACAATAACTCTCATAATAACCTTTCTCAGCAATGTGAAAACATGAACTGGAAAATTTCAGGGCCCGCAAACTCC